GCGGGGTGTGGGTGGGGGGCGGTGCTGCGGGTGAGGGGGGGGGCTCGTTGAGGGGCACGCAGTGAGCATGGGCGGACTGACAGCTGTTCAGAAAGCTTACTGCCTAGACATGTGATTCCTTTGCGAGTGTGTGCGCATCGAACAGATTTCGTAATCAGGCTCGGTGTTGATTGGTTGCTTGAGCAGGGCAGAAGGTTGCCATGCTGTTGCCCCGCGCACCGCTGCCCCTGCACCCATCGCCCCACCTGCAGCAGCGACTCCGCATCCCACGCTTCTACCGCAAGGTGCGCAGCTGCCAGGTAGCTGCCCAGCGCCCGCCGCTCCCCTTCCGCCAGCTCAACGGCCGCCGGCGCCAGCCGCGTGCCGTCAAGCACACTGTAGCCATCCCAGCGCCGGTCAGACCCCTCAACACCATCCCCTTCGCATCCGCTGAGCAGCAAGGGAGCCAGCAGGCTGCCGTCAACTGTCCACTTGAGGGCCGCACCCGACAGGCCGGGCGCCGCCGCGAGCCCGGCGGCGCCGGCGGCACCGTGTACGGGCACGAGGGCGCGCGCAGATGGCGGCGCGGGGGGCCCGCCGGAGGACGGCCGTGCGGGGGTGGCATCGGGCAGGGGTGCGCCCAGGCGCATGGGGGCTGTGGTCGCCTCTTCAAAGCTGAAGAACTGCGGCATGAGTGTGTGGGATGTAATAATGGATAGCCCGTTTTGGAGAAGGGCTAAGTGGGTGGTGTCAGGGCTTCAAGCCTTGGGATACAGTGAGGCAGTGAGCGCACGGCCGCAGGGCGGTGGCAGCCATTGCTAATCGCATTATGCCCCGGGGCAAGTGAAACCCAGGTGTCTATTTGTACCGGGCGGTCATGTCGGAGGCACCTTGCTCTGGGCTTTGATAGACAGCCCTCCCCCCACTCACGCAGGCATGCGCCCACGCACAGACGTGCTGCACGGAATTGCCCAACCACCCGCATCATCCACACCCACCTTTGTGGTGAAATAGAGGCTTTGGGGCCCAGCCACAGCGCCCTCCAAGCCGCCCACGCTGTCAGCCTCTGCCCGATCCACGCCTGCCCCCGGCAGCCTGGACGTCGTCCCGCAAAGCGGGCCCTGGAGTGGCGGCCTGAACCCGATGATCTGAACGATGACGTCAGACGCCGTCAGACTGCTGATGTCAGCGCCGCCCGCCTGGCGCAACGCGAGGGAAGCCGCTGGGGGTGGCTGCGCGGCGGGGCCGGGAGCACCTGCGGCAAGGCCAGGGCACGCAACGACCTGTCAAGGCAAATCAATCAACGTGCTGGGCAGCAGGTCGCCTCACATGGTCATTCGCATCACAACGGCAGGGCGTGTGAGGTGGTGCTGCGGACATTAATCCTAAGCCCTGCACCCTGTCAGGATGCAGGGTTCCATCGGGGTCCGACGCGCCCGGTTTTCGACAGCCGAGGCCGGCACGGACGCCTCACCTGCAGCGGCGCCGCCCGCCGCGCCCGACCCCGCAGCCGCATCCAGCACCGCCGCCGTGCTGCCCCCGTCCAGGGCGAGCCGCCTCAGCGCCTCCAGCCCCTCCGCAGTCAGCGAGTCCCCGGGGACGGTGGCGCCCGCGCCGTTGGCGCCCGCCGCTGCTCCTGGCGCCGCGGCCGCGTGCTGCGCGCCGGCGCTGCCGAGGAGGGTCAGCGAAGACCGCAGGAGATCCCTCTCCTGAAATCGAGGGCGCGGCAGACGTAAGATGCGGAGCTGAACACGTTGATGTACACCGGGATTGATGATGTCAGAGCAGAGGCGAGGCAGGCACATGGCGGCAGAGCTGGAAGCTGCTGAGCCGATTCGCCCCAAATATCCACGGAGGGCGTCAAGGCATGAAGCAAACGCACCAAGCACTGCCAGGCGCAACCCTGCTGCATGTCAATCACTTGCTGCACACGCGCCCCCTCACCTCCCGCAGGCTCTCCACGGCCTGCGCCAGCCGGTCAATCTGGCAGGCCATCGCGCCAGCCAGGCCCCGCAACTCCCCGCCGCCGCCGCCGCCACTGCCCCCACCCTCGCCGCGCCCCGCCCCTGCAGCTGCCAGCTGGGCCGCCTCCCACCGTGTCTGCCGCCGCTCCTCCTCGTCCTCCACCTCGCCGTGCCCTACTTCTTGACTATCCGTCTTCCACGGCGGCCGCCCACTTGGCGGGCCGGCGCCGCCAAACGGCTGCGGCTTTGGCGTCGCCACGGCCGCCGCAACGGCGGCGGCGGCCTGGTCGGCGCGCCGCAGAATAGCGTCCAAAGGGACCGCCGCCGCTGCCGCCGCGACCTTGCTTGACCGAGTAGCCGCTCCTGCCTGCGCCGGCCGCTCATATGCCGTCATGGCGTCCGCTGCTGCTGCCGTCATGGCGTCCGCTGCTGCCTCCGCCAAGCTCTCCGTGGGTGACGCCAACTGCAGCACGAAATCAAGCATCGCATCCGGGACCGCGCGCTCGGCAACATCCCCCAGAAGCGCCCGCCACTGCAGCGCCGGCGCCGGCGCCACGCCCCCGCCGCCCATCAGACCATGACTCGCGGTAGCAGACAGGGTCAGTAGCGTCCGCTGCAGGCCGTCAGCCGCGCTGCCTGCGCCGGCCTCCGGCAGCGGCGACTGGAGCTGCAGCGTGTGGCGGCCCTGGGCGAGCGCCGGCAGAACGTCTGACCCCTCTTCCTCCTCCTCCTCCTCAGCTGCTGCCCCCGCAACCACCCCCGCTGCTGCCCCCTGCCTGTCGCCCTCGGCGCCGCCGCTGCTGCTGCCGCTTTCGAGGCCGCCCCTGCGGGCGCTGCTGCCTTGGATACGCCGCTCATCATACTCGGCGACGCGGGTTTTGAAGGGCCAGAATGCCGTCTGGCCAATGATCACTGGGTCCCATCCAGCGCCAGCCTGCGCAGGTGTTGTTGGCCGGCTTCTGAGCACAGGCGTGAGGGGCGCAGGAACCTCTGCCGCAGTGCAGTGCCGAGCGTTGCGGTGCGCATCCTCTGCCTGCTGCAGTGGTGTGCTTTCAGCCGCGCGCCCCACATCATGCACACATAGGATCCCGCAGTGCATGGCTTCTGGGGCTGAGTCCGGGCATGTGTGCATGGACACATAATCATCCGTCTATGTCAGCACCCCTAGGCATATACGTGTGCGTGTCCCCTTTTTCCATGAAACCAGCTTTGCTCACGCACCTGAGGCGCCGGCCCTGCCACGAGCTGCAACACCAACACCACTCCAGCATCCAGCGGCACCGGCCCCACATCGATGACATCATCGCCGTCGTCGCTGACACCACCCACTGCAGCGCCACCGCCGCCGGTGCCGCGCCGCTGCGGGGGCCGCTGCCGCGCGGAGGGCGGTGCGAGCAGGATGGCCCCCGTGCTGGCCAGCGGCTCCAGCGGCCCAATCTCACACGGCCCGCCCCCGACAAACGCGCGACCGTTGTGAACGCCGGCGCGTAGCGCGTAGCGCACGGCGGACGGAGGAACCGGGGCGGCGAGCGCTGGCAGGAGGTCGGCGAGGCGGCTGCGGGTACGTGGTCGCGGTTGGTGAGAGTCAGTAGGTTCTGCAAATGGTGGCGATCACATGATGGCGCACGTATCGTGAGTGCAGCCAAGAGAGCGAGAGCTGCCGCCGCGCCGATTGGCGCGAGATGCACGACGGCCTTGGAGGAGGCGCACTGTTCCCTGAAACCCCAGACATACTCACAGCGCAAGGGGTGCCCCCTTGAACCTGGGCAGGGCCGCCAGCAGCCGGTGCAGCTGCTGGGGCACCCGCACGCGCGCCCCCGCCAGCACGCCGCGCGCGACCGGCGTGGGCAGCGGCGCGGCGAGCGTGGATAGGGCACCATGGATGCGCTGGGTGGGGCGGCCGGCGGCGGTGAAGCGGAGGAGGCCGGGGACTGCGTCCCTGTAGGTCAGGGGGAAGTCCTGCGGGCGGCGTGACGTGAGGGGTGGCGGGTGACGCTGTGCTGTGAGGTAATTGATCATTTGATATGATGCCTTGAACAAGAGCAGGGAACAGGATGTCCAGTGAGGCAGCACACATGCAGCAATCTCACGGCAGCATCTTGACGGCAGCCGCATGTTGGCAGACAGGCGGTCTCTCCTGGGTGCGGCGAGGAGGCACACCTTCCGTCAAACACAACATCGGGCAGCAACCACAAGGCTAGCAGCAGACATCACGGGGCTGCAGCCGCGGTCTGCAACACACACACCCCTCCCTCTCACCTGAGGCACCAGCGCTGCGAGCGCGTCCGCTGCCGGCCACGCCTCTGCCTTGAACAGCAGCCGGCAGCCTTCAACAAGCCGCGGCGGCGGGAGGCCCTCCCCATGCAGTGACCTGCAAGCGCCAAAAGCCCATGCAGACGGCTGTCACTTTCAGTCACGCCCCAGCCCATACACGACGGCACACGGGGACCTGTCGCCACACGTCCGCAAGAGCAGCACCAGCAGCAGCAGCAGCAGCAGCAGCAGCA